TATAAAATTAATTTACAGATTGAATCTTTATAAATGAATAAATCTTCTCTAATCGTTTATATAAATTAAACTATTAGCCGGTAAGTGTAAAATCTATTTATAAATTTTTGAACTTTATAATTGAGTAAAAACTTCTCTAATCAATTATAAATAAATTAAATTATTAGCCGGTAAGTATAAAATTAATTTACAGATTGAATCTTTATAATCGAATAAAACTTCTCTAATCGATTATATATGAATTTAATTATTAGCCTGTGAGTATAAAATTAATTTACAGATTGAATCTTTATAATTGTATAAAAGTTTCTAATTGATTTTTATTATTTTTATATAATTAGGAGTGATGAAATCACGAAGTATATGGTTTATAGGAGTGTTAAATGGTGTACCCTTTTTGTATCTGATTGGATGATCGATCCTTGTGATTCATCTCGTGATTCCTATATTTGTACCCTTTTAGTTTATTAACTGAACATTGCGTGATTCCTATAATTGAAGGTTTTTTGTTTATTAATTCCTGCGTAGTTTAAAATACTATTCAATAGCACGAATATTACGTGATCAGATTATTCTGGATATTACTATATCATGTTAATTGAATTGTCATCAATTTAAAAAATATAAATTTGCTATTTAGTAATGTGTATAGTGATGGGACCTCCTATATTATTAATAATTAATAATTAATTATTAACAATTGGTCAGGTTATTAATTAAAAACTACTTAATAATATGTTGATGATGCAATAAATTTTTAAGAGAAAATGAGTTAACCATTTGCCGCACACAACTAATCAATATATTCGAATAATAAAATTAAGAAAGTTTCATTAATTAAAAAAAAAATTTTATGCAAAATTTCTCTTTATTTATTCAAAAATTTATATATACAATTGATTCAAGGATTTTTTAACAATTTTTGAATCAAAAACATCAACAAGTTTTGGAATCATTTCTTCACAATTTGTATCGAATACATGAATATCATCTATTAAAGTTTTGGATATTTGGTTTAAATTAACCATAAATTCATCTACACTATGATCATTATCATCATCTGAAATACTATCCTCCATTTTATCGTTACTTGATTTTTTAGTTTTATTTTTTGAGGTTTGATTCATATACCAAGAGATCTGTGCTATTTTTGCAGCCCGGGGTGGAGACAACCGATTACGACATTCTGTATGTATATTACCTAATAAGGACCAAACCCGTTCAGAGGTTGCAGAATTAGGTGGGATTGATAAAAGATGACATGCAAATTCACTCAAATTTGGAGCTACATAATGCATGGTATGCCAATATCGTAATGGTAATCTTGTAAAGCTTGGATTTTTGACTGACAATGCAGAAAATGGATCTTCCTGATTTGAATAATTTAACCATTCATCAATAAATTTATTCTGATCATAATTAGGATAAAATATACAAAATAACCCATATGCAGTTTCCTGAATATATAAGTGCCAAGTTGGATTTAATCCTTCTCCATGGTGATATGAGTGTAAAAACTATGTAATTAAGTAAATAAGATTAAATATTTTTTTCCAACGATTATCAATTTCCATAATTAAAAAATCTTGAAAATCATCGTCATTAATAAGTGAGCTTTTGTTAATAGTTTCACGGAACCATGCCCATGATGCAGCAACTTGACCTAATGTAGCATTTTCAGTTTCTAAAATTTTTATGATATAATCATATGGTTTTAATAACTCATAAAATAATTTTAGTTTTGTCCAAAATTCATTATCATTAATAGTATCGATTATAATACTATTTTCTTATATGCGCAAAATTAGATAAGATGAATGCATAAGTGCAATAACCTAAAAAATTATATAAAAATAAATATACAGTACATATTTAGTTTAAATATACAATCCATATAGAAAATTATTTTAAATTACCTTTAAACTTGTTTGAATTTGCAATATTGTTTCAGATGCCTTTATAAATGTCGTCCAATGTGTAATACACAGATATTGAGGTTTTAAAGTTGTATTACCAACTAACTCTCTTAATTTAGATAGTGCAAGATTGGAATTTCGAAAATGATTAATAATAATCAATATTTTTTTAATAACTGGTTTAAAAAATGATGATTCAACTATTTTTTTGACCAGTAAATTGGTTTGATGCGCCATACACGGAATTGTTAAAACTTTATTGCCAATTTCAGGATCCTAATAAATATAAATAAAATATATATTAATTTTTATATTTTTTTAACTATAATTTATTTTAATATTTTACCTCATGTATAAGACATTGTGCTTTTTTGAAATCAGGTCCACTATCTGAAATAAATGCAATCCATTTATCTCCAAGGCTTATTCTGATTTCTTTATATATTACAAATATATAATCTCCAGTATGACATTGATTAGAACAATTTTCTATTTTCAAAATTTGACTTTCATGCTTTTCATTTGTTATGATAAAATTGAACATACTATTTTTTGATACATTAGTCCACCCATCACCAGAAAGTGTCAAAAATTTTGAATCAGATATAAATTGTTGAACACCATGTTGTACATTCTCATATACATTATCTAAAATATCAGTACTAATCCATTTGCGAGATGGAAGCTGATATCTGGGTTTTAACATATTGAACAACTTAATTACTTCAGGGTCTTCTACGAATGATAATGGTGTATTAGATGAAATAATTACTCTAAGCAATTGACGATTAATAGATGTTTTATCTCTAATAGACAAAACTGAAATAGGTAAGGATGAAATAGATAAATCCGAAGTAGACAAATCTGAGATAAATGTAGGCAAATCCGAATTAGACAAATCCGAATTAGACAAATCCGAATTAGGTGAATCTAAAGTATTCAAAACAGTTTCAACTTCTATTTCATCATTCTGAATTGAATCTTTTTTTTTTGAGCCTTTAGTTTCAGAGACTTTTAAAATATTTCTAATGTTATCACATTCATGTTGTTCGATGTTTTTGCATTTTTCTAGTAAATGTTTAGTCATTTTCGAAGGTTCTCCAGGGCAGCTTTCATGACAAAAGTTGCACCGTGCCAAATAATGTGAACTATTAATCTTTTCGCCCTCATTGAACCACTGCCAGATCGGTTTTTTCTTCCTTCCAGTTTTACGTTGAGATGACATTTAATAAAAATCAATCAAAAATGTTTTGACAAACAAACTTTAGACGATTATTGAACGACAATTATAATTAGTATTTTTAATAAATTAAACTTTTTAATTTATTACATATTTAATTTATTATGTATTTAATTTATTACATATTTAATTTATCGTATTACTAATATTGATTGACTTATTAACAATTAATAATATTAATAACGGGTTATTAACTTTTTTACTATTAACTAAAAACTCAGAAGTCCCATCACTAAATGTGTACTTTGAAATTTATTTTTGGTTTTACCTGTTTTATTATCAGTTTCGCTTGAACAGGAGGAAACGTTGATGTTACACGATTGATATTACACACGGTGTGAAACACAAAAAATTATTTTACAATACTTGATCAGTCCGCTAGTAGATGTTATTATTATAATCCAACACCATTTTTATTATAATAAAAATGGTGTTGGATCATAATCATAGCATCTACTAGCGGACTGATCAAGTATTGTAAAATAATTTTTTTGTGCGTTTCACACCGTGTGTAATATCAATCGTGTAACATCAACGTTTCCTGCTTGTATTGTTGATCTAAAATTATGTTTTAGCTGATTTCGGTTCAACTTGATTTGGATAAACGAGACTTGATATTATATTGGTTTGCTTTATTAATATTGTAAAATTTTGAGTTTTTTATATCTGGGAGGTTTGTTATAAAAAATCCGCTGTATAATACACAAAAAGACTTATTGACTGAATTATTAAGTTCATGAAATAGCTTTTTTAAGATTATTTTCTCATTAAACAAGATGTGTATATTTATTACTTTTTTTAGGTAAAAAAGGTTTTTGAACTCTAATATTTATCACCATATTTCCAAATGACATCGGGTACTGAACACATGTACCTTACTATATATTTAACACTACTAACTAATGTATCCAAGTAAATTACAATGCTAAAGATATACTTGAGTATTTTATTTATCTATTTTTTTGTCATCTTAAAATTTTTTTTTACCTACTGTGTGTTTTCTAATACATATGGGTCTGTACTTTGTATATCACACACATATATATATTCATTTATATATATCGCTCCTAATTGCATCTGGAAATTGTATTGTTTAGTACATCATAGTAATTAGATTCTTTAAAAATATGCTTCGGATTAATTTTGCATAATAATAATGTTATCATTATTCTTTATAAACCTAGCACCATAATATGCCAATCTAGTACACATTACGCAGCTACTTGTTGACAATTAGTCATAAAATATAGATTTTTTATAAGCTTAACATACAATTTTCACCATTAGGTTAGTTTTTAGGGATATTTAAGGTTTGAGGGCATATGGCATTTTCACTTAGAATAATACATATTACTTAGCGTTTTTGAAATAATATATATGTAGGTGTAAAACATCAAAAAATACGGTTAATAAATTAAATATACAATATAACGTTAACTATAAGAACATCAAAATTAGCTAAGATTACATGTTATGAAATTAACTATTGCATGCTGAAAACCAATTTATTGTAAAATTTTAGCCGAGGTATGTTTTTTTATCGTATTTTAATGAGGTATGAGGCGTGGGAAGTACATACGATAAATATAGTTATTCATGCTGATAATCAATCTTTGTATTACTCTTTTTATAATTTAACGTTAAACGTTAATAATTTGCGTTGATTTCGGTTTTAAACTTGTTCAAAATGAAATACTTACCATACGAATGCCTTTTTGAAATATTTAATAACCTTAAAAATAATTATAGATCCTTATTTTCATGCCTTCTTGTAAACCGTCAATGGTGCAGAATTATTGTTCCAATCTTATGGAGTGAACCATTGTCACATTGTTATAATAAAGAATTAATAAGAATGTACCTTTTGTCATTGAATAACGAAGAAAAAGAATCATTAATTCCATTAAATATATTACTTCCAAGTGGTCCGAAGTTATTATTTGACTATACATCTTATACTACATCAATCAGCTATGATTATTTGGAAATAGGTGTTGCAAATTGGCTTGGTCGTGAGGAATTTGAACGTATCAACATTTACGAGTATTATGATTATTATGAAGATGAATATGATAGTTATGAAGATTATCTACAAACAGAAAATACAATTGAAAAAGTTAAATATTCGATAATTGCAATGTTATTACGAACAAGTGAAAAGATTAATTATTTAAAGATTGATGACTTCATCGATAATATTGGAATTGTAATAGTAGAAATTCTTCATAAAAACACTATCACTTCTTTAGAAGTTTCTAATGTTAATTTTAGTTTTGAAGAAATAAAAGCAATATCAGATACTCTTCGGATAAATGCTTGTCTAACCTTATTAAAATTATATTATTGCCAACTTGGACCTAAAGAAGCAAAATTATTGGCAGAGGCACTTTGTAAAAACTCAACTCTATCTTCTCTAAATATTTCTGATAATAAACTTGGTGACGAAGGAATAAAAGCACTTGCAGAAGTTCTTTACGAAAATACAACCTTGACCTCTTTAAATCTCAGTCATAATCAATTCGGTTTTGAAGGCTTGAAAGCACTTGCAGATGCTCTTCATTACAATGTTTCTCTGAAATCTTTGAATCTTGTTGGTAATTGGCTTGGTATTAATGAAGGAAAACTATTGGCTGAAGTTCTTAGTAGAAACACTACCATAACCTTCTTAAGTCTTTATGGTAATAATTTGAGTTTTGAAGGAACGAAAGCGATAGCAGAGGCTCTTCATATGAATACCATTCTAAATTCTCTAAATATTGGAGATAATAAAATTAGTTTGGAAGGAGTAAAAGAAATAGCAGAAGTCCTTTGTAAAAATACCGCTTTAACTTCTTTAAGTCTTTATAATAATCAAATTGGATCTAAAGAAGCAGAAGTGTTAACAGAAGCTCTTTGCAAAAATTCTAACTTAATGTCTTTAAATCTCAGTAGAAATCTAATTACTTCTGACGGATTAAAAGCACTATCAAGAGCTCTTTATAAAAATTCTACTTTAACTTCCTTAGATATTAGCAGTAATAAGTATACACTTTCTGGAATAGAGGCATTATCGCATGCCCTTTGTGATAATAATACTTTGACATATTTAAATCTTTCTAGCAGTCAACTTTGTTTCGAAGGAATAAAAGTATTAGCAAATGCACTTTGTAAAAACACTACTTTGACTAATTTAAATCTTTCTGATAATGATTTTACTTTCAAAGAAGGACAGATATTGGCAGAGGTTCTTTGCAAAAATACTACTTTAATTTCTTTAGATCTTTATCATAATAATCTTTGCTATGAAGGAGTAGAAATATTAGTAAAAGCACTTTGTTTAAATACTACTTTAATTGATATGAATATTTGTTACAACAACCTTAGTTCTAAAGAATACCAAATATTAGCAAAAATTGCGTACAAAAATAATACCAGAATTAAACTACATTTTGAAATAATCGTATAGTTAATTAGTAAGATATTAAATTTATTAATAAAGTATCTAAATGAATTTGACTTTAATAATAACTGCAGTAATTTTTTGAATACATCTGCATCACTGCAAGTACGTTAATAAAATCACTATAATTATTGTCTTTATAAGTCGTCCAGTAATAAATTACATTGATCGCTCTTTACCTTCAAAATCTTCGAATTAATCTGTAAATTAAAACTCAAAAACTCAAATCGGATGGGGTGGGGTAGTGTTGTTAGGCGAAACTTAGAGGTTTCACAAAAGGCAAAAGTCGAAACTAGTTTCGACTTTAGGCAAAAAAAAAAAAATGAAAATAGCGAAATGCAAACTGACGAAACGTCAAAACTGGAAAAACTGTCGAAACTGTCGAAACTGGCGAAACTGTCGAAACTACTAAAAGATGATGAAACTAGAAAAATAATAAAATTAGTAAAAGTTAAGAAAATTAATAAAAGTTAAGAAAATTAATAAAAGAAGCAATAATAAAAAGATTTATTTTTTTATTTCTATATAATGTATGATCAATTACAGAAATCAGAAGTAGATAATTTTATTATTATTTGATTTATTTTATCAAGATGAATCAAATAGGAATAAAATCATCTGATTCTAGTTACTAAATTATTAAATATTATTATCTAAATAAAATAATCAATTTTTTTATTAATATATTTTAATAAGAAATAATTATAATATATTATTAATAGATTTTTTACTAAATAAATTGATCTTTTTATTAAGACAATTGTATTTATTATTTTGTATTTTAATACTAATAAAATTAAATATAGAAATTGTATTATTATTTTATACTATATTAATAAATTAAATAGTTAGTAAACTAAATTATTAATAAAATAAACAGAATTTAAAATTTATTTTATTAAAAAAATTTAAAGTTAAAAATTTAAAAATTGTATTTTTTTTAAAAAAAAATAAATAACAATAATAATTATATTTATAAATATAATATTACTATTTAAAAACATATCTACAGATAATCAAATATGGTTTTCAAAATAGTTACAATTACAGGTTACTTCTGTTGATATCAACCTCTTCTTAAGAAAAAATAAACTCAAGCTGCAGTATAAAAATTATTCTATTGTTATCAACTCTTGCATATATCAACATAATTGTTTAATCCAAATAAGATGATATTAACAAAATAACCTGTACTACTTCTAGCATAGATTTTTACCCAATCTAATATTTAATTTTAATCTAACACAAATTTACTTTATAATATATATGTGCATAATCATACAGTCATATATGATGCTTTTTTGATTAATAATCTAAAATTTCTTAAATTTGATTTATTATAAGTCAATACAACAATTATTTTGTAAATTAATTCTTAGGTTTAAGATCAGATGAAATAAAGCAACATCACGAAATAATTGCCAATAATAATGTTAACAAATGACTTACATATGTATAGTATTTAATTAAAGTTTAACAATGAAATGCAAAGAAAAAACTCTTAACTATATAATAGTAAATTTATTTAAATATTTTGATAAGTTTA